AGTCATAGGGCTGATATGGTAGCAGGGTGTCCACATTCTTTTTGCTAAAAACATTGGGGAAGTACCAGTACTTGGAGGACAGTGTGGTGGCTGATTCCTGAGCTGGGGTCTTTGTTAGCATAGGCCCTGCTTCCAGGGATACCACATCCTGGGCTACCACTAAACTCATGATCCAGGGTGCACAGTGCCCCTTTGTGGGGGAAGGCTGGGTTAGAGGGGTGACAGCCCTGAGGTGTGGCAAATTAGATTTCTGGTGAAAGTCAGATTCAAATTGGATAGGTTTCTGCTGCCAGTGAATTGGTGGGTTATGGAGGGCCAACCATGGACTTCTGAATATCAGGGGCATGTTGTGGACCGAATCAAGGCAAAGTGTAAAATCTTTATATGGTCCTGGACGGAGACCCAGAGTGGGGCATTTTAAAAGGATAGGAACCTGATATGAGGAGAGTGTTATCCATCCACTTGATTGTTAACAGAGTGGGCTTACATGTTACTGGAATATGCTTCACTCTAGTGAAACTGATGTCCATAAAATTGTCTGAGGCAGTCAAGCCCACCAAAGCAGAGAACTGTATTGTGGACATTGTGAGGTGGAACAGGTACATGGTGAGCAGCAATGGAGAAGGGCTGCATATTGCAGTGGCTCCTGCTTTTGAGACCAAGGGGGCAATGTGGGTAGAGGGGCAGAGTATGGACCCATCATCTGGATCAGATCCCAGGTGAGTACCTCTGTGTGGGGGTCCTTCTCTGAGGCCCTCTTCTCTAGACACTGTCTAGTGAGGCAGTAGTCAGTCCAAACAGAGCTCAATCAGTGGGCACAAATGGGTAAGGGACTCAACCCAAGCAGTTTCATCCTTCAGCTCCTCACTTAGGACTTGGAGGAAGTGGAGCACCTGGGATGCCTCATTCCATGGGGTATCTGCAGCTAATCACTGGAAGTGAATGGCATATTGGTTCATGGGCTAGCTGCCCTGCTGCAGTTTGGAGGACTATTTCTGTGAATTAGGATTGCAGGGGGTCCGGGTACATGCAGGACACTGCATCTAAAATCTCATCTAAGCCCTTGAGGAGAGAACTGGTGACCTCCAGGAGAGAGGATAACCACATCAGGGCACTTCCTGCAAGCAGGATAATGATTAGTCCTATTTTGGTCTTGTCTGTGGGATAGATGTGGGAGCACAGCATAAACAGCAGGTAGCACTAATATAGGAACCACTGAAACTTATTTGGGTCTCCACTGAAGCACTCAGGAAGCAGGACTTTGGGTTCAGGTGGGACGCCTGCCAATGGAGATGTTTTGCTGCTGAGGATTTTGTTTTCTTTCACAAGGGTCTCACACAGTACCTACCAGGCTCCAGCCTGGGCCTTGTTTCTCCTTCAGGCAGCCTAGCAAGGCTTGAGGTCCCTACCTGCCCTGCAGCTGCTCAATCAGAGCCTGGATCCACTGAACTATCTATTGTGGATGGCTGATCATTTTGGGGGATTCAGACACTTCTGGGGCATTTGAGGTCTAGAAGGGCAGAGTGGATTTTGTATCTCTAGCCCTGGGTTCTGCCCTGCAGGGTCAAAAAGGTTGATCTGGACAAACTGGGAGTGTCTGGCCTAGATTTAGTAAGTGTTTTTGTGCAGGTATCTACATATGTGGGGATTAGGGAGCAGATTTGCACCAAGTTTCCTGCAACCCTTCAATGGGCCCCTGTCACCACCAGGGGAACCTCCAGGCTCCTCCTGGGCGCTATCCCAGGGGATGGCAGGGAGCACAGGGCCAGGAGACAGATGTCTCCCGGAAGCAGGGAGCTCCGAGCCCTGGCTCCCTGTTCAGGGGTAGGAGACTTGGAAAGAGCTGCAGGGGAGGGGCAGGTCCCAGCCCCTGCCCTGATCTGCCAATGGGGCACCTAGCAGCTCGCTCACTGATAGCTGCCCCACCAGTAGATTGGGACAGGGGCTGGGACATGCCCCACCCCTGCAGCTCTTTCCAAACCCCATGCCTTGATCACCTGATCAGGGCACAGGGCTGGGACCCTGAAGAGGACAGCTCCCAGCCCTCACCCTGCACACTGTGAGTGTGGAGCTGGGGGGGGGGGCGGGGAACAAGTTCCCCAGCCTGTTTTTCTGTCCCTCACCCCGCTCCCAGCTCTTCACTTACATAGTAGGGCAGGGAACAGGTTTTCCTGCCTTGGCCAGCAGGGATTTCCCAGTGCCCACTCTGTGACTCTGGGGCTGGTGCTGCGAGACCCTGAGCTTTGTGGTTGCTGGGCTCAGGCTGGGAGATCCTTATCTCCCATTTCCCATTTGTCTATGCTTTCCCACTTGGAAAGATCTGTGAAACCTATTAGCAATAACTTATGCATTTAGGAACTAGCTTTTTACATTAACATGTATAATGTTTGAAATGTTAGGATTTATTTAATACCTTATTTGCAAGTTAGCCTGGAAAAACATTTTAGTAAAGGTAGTGTTTGTAATGAGGCCAGGTCAGAATCCTGGACTGTGCTGGTCCTAATCAAGAGACCAGCATAAGGCAGGGAATCCTGGACACCATTCAAGCTAGCAGTGACTTTCAAGGAGCAGGGCTCAGGCTGGGAGACTCTTATCTCACAGTCTGAGCTCCGTGGTCATGGGGCTCAGGCTCAGAGAAAAGGGTCTCTCAGCCTGAGTCCTGCTTTTAGGTGATGCTGACTGCACAGTAGCTCATTACTACTGTGCAGTAGTGTCGCATCACACTCCATGCCATGTGATGCTACTGTGAAGTAGAAATGAGCTCCTGCGCAATCAGCATCTCATGTAGATGCTGATTGAGAAGTTGACAAGTATGTAGTATGGTGATCACTTTCATTTCACAGTTACATTACATGGCTACACTAAGAATCCTGAGCGTAACACCACCCTCCAAGAGTTATTGTTGGCTAATTAAGCACTTGCAGGGAAGTAAGAAGGGAGAATGACACCCCTTTATTCTTCTGCTTGGCTCACTGAAGCTGTTCATTTTTCAGCTACAAACATATTGGATAGGGAAAAAGAAGCAGGAATTGCTTGCCTTAATACTCTTCTCACTAAGAAGGTGGGTGGGAAGGGACACAATGGAGTGAATATATGGCCTGTCATACAGGGGGTGTCTCTGCATGGGATGCTTTACTGTGCAGCAGACTAATCTGCTGTGCATTAAAGTATCACCATCTCTACTTGTGCGCAGCAATTGGAGCAGAGTAGAGTAATTTACTACAGTGGCCAGATAGTCCCATCATATATAAGTGGTATACAGCAGTGCAGTAAGTTATCGCACTTAAACACATGTGTTGATACTGGCATCGGGATTAGTTTACTCTGGCTCAAATTGAGTCAGAGGATATTCAGTTGCATTAATTGCACATCTAGACATGCCCAGGGAGAGTGAACTGCACCCTGAAACAGGATCAAGTAACCTAAATCTTTCCCTCAAAGGAAGAGAAGGCAGAAGAGTATTCAAGTAACAGACCCTTCCACCTGAACTTCCCTGGGCAGTACAGGTATGTACACCACTGCTGTCTTCAGGCTCACTCATTTACCATAGAATCATAGAAGTAGGGTCGGAAGGGACCTTGTAGATCTTCAAGTCCGACCCCCTGCCTGGGCAGGAAGAAAACTGGGCTCAAATGACCCCAGCCAGGTAGACATCAAGCCGCCTCTTAAAGACCCCCAGGGTAGGAGCCAGCACCACCTCCCTTGGAAGTTGGTTCCAGATCCAAGCTGCCCTAACTTGAAGTAGTTCTTACAGATGTCTAATCTAAACCTACTCTCCAACAACTTGTGGCCGTTATTCCTTGTTATCCCGGGGGGCGCTAGGGGAAACAAGGTCTCCCCCAAACACTTCTGGTCTCCCCTAGTGAATTTATAAACGGTCACCAGGTCTCCTCTCAGCCTTCTCCTGTGAAGGCTGAACAGGTTCAGGTCCTGTAACCTCTCATTGTAGGGTCTGCCCTGCTGTCCCCAGATCATGTGGGTGGCCCTCCTC